ATCAATATTATTATTGTTACTAATCTATGCAATTATGTAATTTATGTTTTATTTGCAAATGTCTGGTTATCAGTCTACTAAGTTGAAGCAGAGTTTTTAAATTATGCTAGTATGACTTCTAACTTTCTGTTATCATTGATTCTATTAGTATTATAAGCATATGTAAAATCCTTTAACACTAATAAGATATTGATTTTCACTATAGAAATATAAAAGGTCAGTGATGTAAAATTCTTTTATAATAGTTTAACATTTATCAAATTTGTATTAACTTGAAGCTGATTGATTATTAAAAATTTTATTGTTAGCATTAAAAGCTAATAATGCATTGAAATTAGTGTTGCTATCTGAAACTAAAATTCTATAGTTTAGAATAACTAAAACTAGTTTAGTTTAGTATTAAATTTAATTTAATTAATATCTAAAACTACTGAAATTAGTTTGTTTAACCAAAACTAATTTTTAGTAATTTAGGATAACATTCTTAACTGGAATTAAGAATTCTAACATTTGTTATAAAGTTGCAATTAATGCTTAAATATCTGCTTAATTAGCAGTTATATCATTAATAAATTTTTAAGATTCAATTTTTTGTTAGTATATAATAAACTATTAATGTGTAGATTATTATCTATATTATAATATAGATAGTAGATTCAATTTTGTCTGATATAACAGAAGATATTGCAGTAATTATTTTAAATATTTGATATAATATATTTAAAAGATCTAATTAAATCCACAAATTAAGATAAATGCATTATATATATTTTGTCTAATAGTAATATAGGATTCTGCAAATCCTACTTAATATTAGATACTAAAAATAAGATTTTCAAGAGTTATATTTATTATATCAGTGATTCTAATATAAGGTATGTGTAATTTATTCTTTTAAAATATTGTTGTATGTATTAAGTAAAAGTTATTACAGGATATTTAGCAATATACTAATCAGAAGTAACTAATTCAAATAGATAACAGATGTAATAAGATCTATTATAGTAATACACAATGATATTGCTTTGACTTAGATAAATGTACAATTAATTATATCTATGATTATTTAAATAATATTTATCAAATATAAATGATTTTTCAATAAAAATGATATTAGAAGAATACAAAAGTTAATTATTCTGGAATTAAATAAAATAAAAAGATCAATTATGTATATTATGCTTTAGCATCTTTAGCATATGATAAGAAAGATTCTGAAGAATCTGAAGAAGAATGAATAGTAGAAGAAAATGAGATACCAAATATTATAATCAATTCTTTTAGATTATTTATTATTATAAATAAACAGATAATATAGGTAGTAAGCAGAAGGTTAAATTTATAGTTAAGATTAGATAAAATATACATATTAATCATTTATTTAATATAAAATAATAAATTAATATTGACTTACATTAGTATTCTGTATTATACAAATATTTTTAATAAATTAAATTAAACTATTTAATAACTATTTTAAACTTATTCTAATATTGACTAAAATTTCTGTTATATTTATATAAAATAAAATACATATATTTGTTAATAAAGTTAAATAAATAAACTTAATAAACTAAATAAAAATAATAAAATAAATAAAATAAAAAAATAATATAAATTACGTAAACTAACTAAACAATATAAATGATGTTAACTTTGTTTGATGATCTATATCATATAAATCATTTAAATAATTTTAATTTAACAAAATTAATTCTAATAATATCATTACTATATAAAAAATATAGTTTAATATATTTTTTACCAATCTTATTAACAAAGATTTTAAGTTTTTAAAAGGTTTTTAAAATAATTTAATTTTAAAATTTAAGTTTTAAAAATTTATTATAATAATTGTTTAAAAATTCTTTAAAAATTTATATGTTTACATACTAATTGAATCACTTTATCATTAATTAAAGTCATAAAATTCTAATAAATTATAAAAATTATAAAATAAAAGTTTTCCTTTATAAGTAATTTTATAATATTCTATTATAATTAATATAGTTATAAGTAAATTCTAAAAAGTTTATTATAGATTAATCATAAAATTTTTTAAAATAATTTTTTTTTTAAAAATTACAAATTTTTAGCTTCTAAGTAATATTAAATTTTTTTATTATATAATTTATAGATAAAGTTTATTATAATATATTACATATTTATAAAATTAATTTAAAAAAAAAATTTTTAAATTATTAATTATTTATAAAAGTAAATTAGAAGAAAATTTAAAGGATAAATAATTTTTTAATATATCTAAAATTAAATTAAATTAATAAGCAAAATTTCTTTTAAATTTAAAAGAAAAACCATTAGAAAATAATATTAAAATTATACTAAATTCAATTTTATTTTTAAATTAAATAAAGAAATATTTATTTTATTTAATATTAAAAATCAGATTAATTGGATTTATTTTAGATATTATATTAAATATATTTTTTAAATTTATAAATTTAGTAAATTTTTATAATTTATATTAATAATAAACTTTATTTTATTTGTTTAATATAAAAAAAAAACTTTTTAATAAAATATATTTTATTTTTAATAAAAATAATATTTCATTGTGATTAAATTTATTTTATTTTATTTTTTTAAAGATGTGATAAAATATTTATTTATTAAATTTTAAAATCAAAATACAAAGTATAAAAGAAAATTTCACAAAGGATATAAAAATAAAAAAAAAAAAGTAAATATTACTTAGTTTTCTTGAATAAAATATCAACTCTAACTAAGCCAACTGATTATCTCTAAATTTGTTATTTATTTAAATATTTCAATTTCTTTCAAATTATTATTATATAAACTTATAAATAATAATTATAAAAATACTAATAAGAATTTTTAAAATTTATTTTATAAGTTGATAAAATAATAATTACATAATTATTAATTTTCTGTTTTATAATAGTATTTTTCTATTAAATAGTATTTCAATAATAAATTAAGCATTATATTTTGCTTTAAATTATTATTTTTTAATATTAACTATTATTTAAAATTAGATTATAGTAATATGATTTATTATATATAAAAATTAAATTTTTATATTAATGTAATCATATTTTTTATAGTTTTAATATATATTAAATAAGTAAGTATTCTTTTTGAATTAAAATTATAATTTTTAGTTAAATTTATTTAATAATTATCTAAAAATTTAATTAATTACATATATGTTATTTTTTTTATTAATATATTAATTATTACATATTTTTTTAAAATACTTCAATATTGATTATTAACCATTACACTTAAGCCTGACTACTGAAATATACTAAACACTATTATTAGTAGCAAGTAGACTAGATAATTAATCTTAGATATTTCACTATTTTTCAAGTTATTTATTATGTCGCTATACAATCTCAATATGCTTATCTAGAATATGACATCCTAAACTGACAACTTAAATCACTTGTTGTCATCTGAATTAGGTATTTAGCATCAAAGTTCTGTTAAATTTGAATAGAGAATACATCACAGTTATAGTGAAGATCATCTCTATTTTTACCAACGGTTTATTGTACTATAGCCAGGATGTAATTACTTAGTTTGACTTGATTACAACTATATAAAGAGCCAAAGGATTCATAGGATAATACTATAAGATTTATCCAAATGATAATCTTCAGTTGTGCATATAGATCATATTAATTAAATGACTTTAATACTCAGAATATTAAATAATTCAGAAATTGAACCTGACCTTTAACTCTAGTGCCAGCTTAATTGGCCGGTATTGCAGGCTGTATAGTATGAGACGTCTATTACAAATTAATGTGTGAAGGCTAAATTTCTGTTAATCTAAAGCTTCATTTGCATCTATATATTCTAATGGCTATAGTATTTAATTAAGCATAATTAACGTTGATTGATAGATCAATCAACTAGATTTATATATATGTTAGTACATATACCTATCAGTTCAACCACAATTAGCTAAGACCTGAACTGCTTAACCACTAAGTCAGAATCACAATATCTCTCAATTATTGCATATATATTTTAAATTTAATCTAAGTTTTTTCTTATTACAATTAGTTTATTATCTATTTTAAATTACAATTTATAGATTTATCAAACATTTGTAAATAAAAAATTTAATTATTAAATTTTTATATAAAAAGTTTGATATACTTAATTTTATGTTTATAAATAAGAAAATTTTATTTACTTCAAATATATTCTAACTTTTAATATCTAATCATTTGTATAAAATAAAAAATGATGATTTCTTTAAAAAGATCAAAATTATAATAAAGTATTTCATATGCTTTGAATATATAAAAATCTTATTCAAAATTTTAATTACTTATCTTTTCAATACAAATAGCACTTTTCATGTATTACTTGAATTAATTCTTTCTCTTCTAGCTTAATTTGAATAATACCTTATATATTATCATCAAAATCTTTCATAGATTTCTAATCCTTTCTTTTAATATATTCGTATCTTTCTATTGCAAAGCTCCATCCAATCACATATACCAGTTATAATAAAATCCCTTTATATTTTTTTATCCAATTCTTATTATTTTAATTATATTTGGCATTTTCCAAAATCTTTATCACTTAATAAACCTTTTATTTTTGTATATTTATCCTGACAAAGAGGTTTTTCAATCTTTCTCACACATCTTGTTATATAATTGCCTTATTCTAAATAAACTGAATTGATAAATGAAGTTTGCTAAACGTTGAGGGTTTGTTTCGCACTAAATTACCGACATCCTTTTGATGTCATTTTATTTTTTATTTTATTTTTTTTTTTATAAAAGATTATATTACAAAAAATTTATTATTATCATTTTTTTTTTTTTAAAAAAAAAAGAAAAAGGTTATAAAAACGCGCGAATAAAGGAATGAATAAACAAAAAAATCCTGGTCCAATACGTACATACATACAATACATACATTCATATGTATAATAAAAATGAACTTTATGTTACAATTGTACAGAAAAAAAAATGAAAAAATAATACCCATTATATAACATTACCCGTAGTCTCGGCTTCTAAACTTAGAGCCATTAATTCGGCTTCCAATTCACCACCATCTAACATAGCAATCGAAGAAACGTTGCCACCAAAAATATTTCCAGCAGCAGCAAACATTCTTCTTTCTATGACTTCACCAATATGATCAAGAGGAGTAAGTTTATTTCCACCTCCATTATTATTACTATTACCCTCTCCGACTCCATTATCAATACTTCCGTTATTATTTAAATTATTTATTAATAATGAATTAAATGTATTAATTAAATCATTTTGAACAAATGATGAAGAAAATGATTTCTTTAACGAAGGATCTATTAACGAAATTTTTGGGGGTCCGGATAATTGGTTGGTGAAAGGATATGGTTCGGAGGTATACCGTTTTAGATTAAGAATATTCTTTGATAAAAACCTAAATTTATCAAAATTAATTATTGGTTGTTGTGATATCGTTGGAAGCGGTGAAGGTAATGGTGATATTGGTATAAAGTTCGACGTTGACGAAGATAATGGTGAAAATTTTTGTTGTTGATTAAAGGAATTTTGAGAGAATGACGGAGAAGTAGGTGTAATAGGTGAAGATTCCCCTGATTCGGGATATGTTGGTATTGATGATGTTGAAGGCATGCGCAGTGATAATTTATTCCTTAAATGATTTGGAGAAAGGTATGTTGAACTTCCTTCAATTATAAATGTTAAATCTTTAAGAAAGATTGCTATTATCATATTTTCGAGTACAAAAATGATATTTTGTTAGTATATCGTACATAGATTGGAAGAAAGCCAATTTTATACTTACCTAAGAACGGTATGACGGGAGGCTTAGCATTTGCCAATGATTTTCTATATTTTCTCATATTTCTTGAAGGATCAATTAATTCTTCGATACTTTGAAAAGTTATTATATCTTGGTGTGAAAGAGATTCCCATGTCTTTATCAACCGTTGAACCGGACGGGAATTCAATGCCAATGCAATACATGTGGCGATATGGAAGTTATTATATTCACGACAATACTAACAATTACAATAATAATATGTTAATGTCATGTAAATTACATTAACGCTCATCAAAACAAAAAAAATTATACGTACTCGTGCTGTTTCAATGAACTTGTGAAGTATGCTTCGTCGCGCTTTAACCGTCCTTAAATTACAAATTTCATGCGCAATCCAATGACTTATCTGTGATTACGAATATAAGATAAAGCATTAAACTTGACTTAAAATTTAGAAGGAGTCATTTAAAAATCATTTTATTTACCATATTGCTCCTTCTTGTAAAAACATCTAAATGACTATCAATATGGCTAGAAGATTCTCCTCCGAGAACGGCATCAAGGTTAACGCCGTTTTCGAGTGCTTTCCTTTTTCTCCACCAGATCGTAACATCAAAGAATGTTATAGATTTTAATATAGCAAAATCCATTAATGTTAAATATTTTGCTATATTCTTTGATTCAAATTCCAATAATGGAGAAGAATCCAATAAGATTGGTCGAGGTACATTATCAGAATTGGTGATAGAGTTGATAGAGTTGGTATTTTCATTATCATTCGACTCTATAGTGGATTCATTTATCGGAATTTTCTTTTGATTCATCATTCTGTCCATCGAAATCAGAGACTGCAATAATACAAATGATGTCAGAACTTATTCAAATAAAAAGGTTAGTGAATGAGTAAAAATTAACCTGTAGCTCTAATATGGTTTTAATCTTGCTGACTTCCAACAGAAACTCCTTTTCCGTAACAACATCTGTTAAAAATGCACGCATACTATCGCGTAATTTTGCGTCAATTCGAACATCTTGTGGTTGGATTGTTACCCATCGATCAAGTATAGATATTATGCTAAAGAAGAAAATTTAATTAGTCAAGTCACGGGGTTACGTTCAGTATAAGAAAGCAAATTCACATACGTTTTATGGCGATGGTAAACGTCGTCTTGTGAAGCAACATTACGATATCTTTGAATCATGAAATTTAATAACGATTCGGATGACATAAAAAATATATGATTGAGCAAGAAGCAATCGACAAATTCCGCATCTATAATACAAGATAAATGGTCAATAATTAGCTAATCAATAAGTGGACCTTTTTTTTTCGAATTAGGTACCTTGTTCATCAACTAATCTTGTCAACAATTTATCTAATGTCCCAGCAAGAATTTGCGGACTAACAATTACGAATTATGATTAGTTTTATTCAATGAAACGATTTTTTAATTTAAAATAAAAGAAAAGAATTTACCTTCCATCGGTCATTTCAGTGACAAGATCATCATTGTAAAGATCATCAATTCCCTTCAATTTATCTTCCAGATTTGGAAAATTTTCCGACTTACTAGAAATTACTTCCTAGAAATATTAAATCATTAATAACTTTGCGGGGTAATTGAAAATCAAAAATGGAGTTTGTGTTACCTCATTAAGACGAGTAAATACTTGAGGAATCTTAATCAAATTACTAAGACTCGGCTTCTTTTTTGCGTGTAAACTATTCGAGCTATGAACGAGGAGGGAAGCCCGACGATTAAGAAAGAATTATATAATTTCACTGCAATCATAAATTTCAAATAATTACCTTTTTTTTTTCGTAACAATCTTTCGGAAAAGTTGTTCGCGAAGTTTTTGACTTTCGTTTACATCTGAATTAGTTGCAGAGGATAACTGTTCTTTATCATCTATAGGATTTTCTCCATCATCTTCAATATGTGGAGTCAAATAGTGTGATGTAGAATTACCACTTTCATTATTGGTTTTGCCTGCGTCCGTCCACACTCTCTTTAAGTTCCTTAGATCGGTAAAACTTTTAGTTTTGTGTAATTTATGTTTTTTATCACTAAATGAAGGTGATTTACTAGAAATTTTCGAGGAATTATTTGATGGATGAAGAAAATAATCATCAGAAATTAATGTTGCATCTTCTGTAACGGGCCAATAATTATAAGCTTCCGATACATTTGAAGATTTTCCTTTTGAAGATAATGATAATGGATTAACGTGTTTAAGAATATATGATTTTATGCTTGAATTTGAACTTCGACGTGAACGTGAAGTTGAATTTACATCAATGCCCACATCTGATTCTATCAAAGATGTGTATGATTTTGTATTAGGATTATTGTAAATCGACCTTCGTAAGGGAGGAGTGCTCGAGACATCCGAAAAGCGCCTTCGACCTAAAAATACGAAGATTTAATCAACCAACTTATTTTAATATTTATTTTTGCTATTTTGTATTTTGTATTATTTACCTTTACCATATAAAATACCAGGAAGAAGTTTTGAAGAGGTATCCTTTAACTGTTCTTTAAACCGAGAATTGCTTTTAATAGAATAACCCGGTGAACTTGGTACACTTTGCGAAGGACTATCACTTCTAAAATGACCATTATGTTCCTGATTTGGTTCTTTTCTGTTATATTTACGTGGAAAAGATGGAAGATGAAGTTTGCGCGAGTTGGGATCTTCTGAAAATAAGATTTTCCTTATTCTCGAATGGTTTGAGGTCATAGAAACTGAAGCGGAAGATTTATAGGAACCTATGGAGCTCTCACTTATCGATCCAACACTCTTTTTTCGTTGCTAGTCACGTGACGAGCAAAAGATATACGCATGAGGAAATGGTGTTGAACTCGAAATAAAATTGATTCGAAATTAACAACATTACATACGTTTCGAGTTCGCTGTGAAATAGCTTCAGAACTCGTTCGCCTTGATAATGTAGTGCCATTATCTCTATCTATACTGGAACGATTGTTACTCTCTGACGCGGATGGTAAAAATATTTTTAATGATGTCGTAGATCTTCTTTTAATGGACGTGAGACTACTCAAGACTTTTTTTCCAACTAAAATTTTTTTAAAAATTTGTTTAGTGATTTTTCGAATTGTAAAAAAAAATAACAAAAAAATAAATAAATAAATAAAACTAACATGTTCTCTTTTTCCTTTTAAATAAAAAATAGTAACGAATAATAATAATAATAATAATAATAATCGTTAACAAAGAATAAAGAATTTAAGAATTTAAATAAGACGATATAAATTTACATGTCGATAGTTTACTTTTTGTTAAGAATTCTTTCATTTGTTGATTCCATTTCCGATGCTACACAAATTAAATTTTGTTTGTTTTTTTTTTTTAAGTGATTTCAAGAAACAATTTTTCTCTTTTCAGTTTAATGCTTACGTTCTTCATAGACAACAGGAAGGTATTTGTGAGTAAAATCCACAAACAAATCTAATGCATCGACAAGTCGATCTGAATGTGATAACAATTTATCATATATATTCTATTCCGAGAGAGGAATAAAAAAAGAAAGAAAACAAAAAAGGAGGGAAAAAAAATGAGGGACGAAAATCGATACAGATCACGTGATGACAATTTCCACGTACCTGAGCGTGAGACTCACATCCTTGAAACTTTATTCTATGTATTTGAGTCAAAAAGGTTTCAACTTCTTCAGAAACGCGACTAGTTAACGTATTATAATGATCTAACATTTCTCTACTTATGAGACAAGATATTAAAGCTTCATTATGCATCGACAATATAGAACGGATTACGTAAGTGAATAAAGAAGAAGCACTTAAAACTTTACATAAAGAAGAGTTTTTAGTAGAGGAAACTGACGCATCGGTATCACTTATTAAAGAAACATCAGAGTGTAAAGTTACAGAAGAAATATAAGAAGATCTTGAGGAATTATTTCTATGATTCTTATAAAAGTTGAACCTTTTATTTTCAAGAGGGTTAGGAAACTGGGAAGGCGATTCGGTTGTTGATGATGTCGGAGTAAATTTTTCGGAAGTTGGGACTTCAACATAATCAATTATATGATCGTCTTTAAATGGGGTTTTGAGAGAATTGGAGAGCAACAATGTCGGAGTCAATAAAAGGATCGACATTAAGGCGGCTTCAAGGGTGGCAAAAGGGCTCTGTTAAAAAAGAAGTTGATTGGATTGAATATCAATTGAGAAAGAATTAAAAAAAAAAAAAAGATCATTTCAACATTACCTGCCATTCACCATTTGGCATTTGTTGATCAAAAATGACCGATTTTTCGGAGCATTGGATTACTCGCAATTTATTTAATACACGTTTAACATCCTCGGGTAGTTGAAGATATAATAATTCACTTTCCTCGACCAATTGTTGAGGGATATCATTTGCGGCGTTAATTTGAACCTGAGGAGTAGGAATTGGTGTTGAGACGGAAGGAATTGATGGCAATAGATCGGGGAGTGGCGCAGTTTCTTTTGATGTTAAATTATCATCTTTCTCTTTATCATTCTTATTGTTATGATCTTTATCATTATTGGATTTATTCCGAGCATTTTTAGAAGACGAGTTGTCATCACTAAATAAATTTCCGATAATTTTAACCCATGACATATTTCATATATATATATATATATATTAAAGAAAAAAAGATTTAAAGAGAACGTATTTGTAAAGTATATAGTAAATATCGTGAAGAAAAGGAAAAAAAAGAATGATTTTTCACGGAGTAAAAAAAAAAGAAATTCTATTTCTATTTCTATTTTTGTTTTTTTCCCTTTTTTTATTTAAAAAAAAGAATATTGTCCAAGTTTTAAAAAATGATTGAATGAGAGTTTTTAATAAAAAATATATTTTTTTTTTATTGATCAAGTATTTATTTTTTTCTTTTCTTTTCTTTTTTTTCCTTTTTTTTATTTATTTTTTTTTTTTGCAAAAAAAAAAAAAAGAAAGGAAAAGAAAAAAGGAAAAGAAAAAAAGGTGGGAATAAAGGGGATTGAACTTAAAGGATAACAACAGCATTTTTATATACGTAAAATAAATCTTTTTCTCGTGGGACAGAATTATTATTTAAAATAAATAACAATTATTTTTTTTTATTTTATTATAATTTTTATTAGTTTTTTTATTGACGCGTAAACACAACCATTTCCTTTCCTCAAGTTTTTATATATATAACATAATGTATTAATTAACAAGTTGAAAAATTTACAAATTGTTTGTAACACGCATATTAAGTATTGCATGTCATCAACGTGATGTATAAAGTACAAAGTGGTGATAAGTGGTCAATGCGAAAAAAAAAACATCATCGCAGGCAATTCATGACTTGTGACACTTATTGAATTCCAAAATAATAATCGAATCCAAGTTTTCTCTTTTTTTATTCTTGGCCATAAAAAAAATCTATTTATAACTTCCATAATTGTTCGCAGATGATCTCCAAATTAATCAAACTATAGATTTTTATTATTTAGCGCTACTGCGCCTTGAATTTGAAAAAGGAAAAAATTCGCATGAGTAAAAAAAAATTAAGCGGCTTATTTATCCCTGCATAATCCTTTTATTTATTTTTTCATCCAAGAATAGATTAATTATTTTTAATTAAAAAAATTATTATGTCATTATTTATTTATGATCATGTCAGGGGTCGACTTATAAGTTTGGGTTTCTTTTCTAGGTTAACAATTCGTACCCTGCAGGAATAAAAACCGTTTTTTTTTGTTTTGTAATATATATAATGTAACCATTATTTTTTTATTTATTTATTTTTGTAAATGAAATGATTTTTGCTCATGATAAAAAAATCAACTTTGTAACTTTCTTTACCGGCTTATGATTTTGTTTATTCAATGTACGAATATTTTTTTGCCATGGGTGACTGTGTATTGATCCCGGTCCGGTGCCTTTCTGAAAAGGCAAATAGTAAATACAATAAGAAAATTGTTTGGCAAAGAGATATCAACCTAAACCAAAATCGAATTAATTTTTTCACAAACATAAATTTAAAAAATTGAACTTTGGGAAAAAAAAATAAAAAAAATGGAAAAAAAAAAAGAAAAATTTTATTCATGTTTAACCGCCCGCTTTATTATTAAAATCACCTAGGTTGAAATCAAAAAAAAAAATGAACCATATTTAAAAAATAATACCGTATCCCAAATTAATAAATTATTCATGAAGGTGATTTCTAAAATAAAACAAGCCAAAGTCAATTCATTGAATTTTTTTTTTATTTATTTTTTTTTCTTTTAGTTATTTTTTTAAATAATAATAACAATAATATTAATAAAATTCAGTAACTACCGCAAATTCAGCACAATGATTTGATGCGTGGATCTTTGCAAGTAAATAGGTGACTGATTTTTCTAGCAATGATATTGATTTATTTGTGAACAGGAAAAAAATAAAATAAAATAAAATAAAAGCGTAAAGAATTTTGTTTTCCCATTCAAATCATAATTTATTAAAAAAATTAACAAAAAAAAAATTTGTTTTTTTTTGTAAAAAAAATTTTGAAAGTATTTCACCTAAGATCGCATATTAACATCCCTCATTATATTATGACCTTGTCTCATCATGTCAATGACCCATCTGTTACGTTGATCTGGAGGCAAAGATCGATATTCTTTATCCATCTTCTCAACTTGAGATATCCAATAAAATTTCACGGGGAATTCGCCATTCCATTTATTCCAAAAACAATGAGTCGTATAGGCGAGTCCATAAAGTATCATCGGTGAAATTTTTAATTCTTGAAGAATTCGATATTCACTTTTGGTATACTTTAATAAACATTCTCTACAACACCTGACGCGGAAAGCCCAATAGACCTTTCTAATCTTGGGTTTTTTACAGATTTGACATCCTCTTTCAAATAATAATATGCAATATTTACGTTCTTTCATTCCTTCAGGTGGTGCTAATGTCATTTCAGAATTATTCTCTCTTGAAAATTTCCAAATATCTACAGTACTATGAACATTATCTGAACATAAATAATTATAATATAATTTACAAACTTTACTTAATGAAATTAAATCAATCGGTCGAAGGAATTTACATATGTTAACAAAAATTTCTGGTGCAAATCTCAAAATATTATTTTCTTTTGGTGGTTGTTTCTTCTTTGATTGCCTCATTCTACGTTGTTTTATAGGGCTCTTAATTGACAGTTTAATTCGTGCGCGTCCCCTTTCTTTTGTACTTTTACCTGCTGCTTGTGCTGTCGTTGCAGGCGGACTATTTATATTTGAAGGAAAAGAGTTGAAGAAATAACTAAAATTGGGAGGGGGGTTAACGACAAAGGTTTGAGAATCTTCATTTCGCTTATTTCTCGGAAAATCAATAATATGTTGAAATGATTCCGGTGAGAGGCCCATAACAAATAAAAAAAAAAAAATCTGACCGATGTGGGAAAAACTCCTTGGGAAAAAAAGAGATCAATAAAAATTTGTGGACTGTCCGTCACACGACCAGTTGATACAACACGTGATTTTCCTTAGAATAGCCTCAACATTGAATTTAAATAAAAGTCAGCATTAAAAAAGCGAATTCAAGAAATTAAACTTGATGGAGCTCAAAATCCCGAGACCTCGCACGTAATAAATATTTGAAAATTATATTTGGATCAAAAATATATTAATTCAAAAACATGATAAGGATCCTGTCAAATTCTTTTCTATAACTAAAAATAGATTTCTTTAATTCACATTTTAATTTATCGAAAAAAAAAAGTGAAAATTCGCAATTCTTTCTTTTTACATCTATTTAGTACCCCCTAAAACCCAAAGTGTACACATTAGAAGTAAATAACGTCATCCCCTATTGAAAGAATAGTAGTAATGAACCTAAAATGTACAAAAACATTATTATAATTCTTCGCATTGGAAAAAAAGCCAGCATTTATAAAAATTCCTTGATAAAGAAATCAACTAATTATTCGGTATGTCGGAGGTAATGCACGTGATCTACGATATTATCAGGAAAATCAGTCCGAAATTTGTAGAAGCTAACGATATTCGACATATTTTATTTATTCCAAAAGTACCAATCATAAAGTCCAAGGTTATTCAATTGGTCGTGTTTGTACATCCGAATTGGGTCACATCATTAATTTCCACGTGATTTCTGATTATTAATTTCCACGTAACCACGTGGAAGATCTCGATTCAATGTTCCAAAAAAATTTCTCCCATCATTTAAAAACCTTAATGCCTTCACAGATAGAGAAACAAATAGAACAAGAAACAAACATGACAAAGATAAAGTCTCTTATTTTATACCGGAGCATATATTTTCATTATTTTTATTCCAAGTAAAGTCCGTGAAATTATTGGCCGTATCAGTGATTCATTTGATTGGAGGAGAATACAGTCAAACCACCTAATGTTCTGCATGTGCAAGGAGTTTTCCGATCCTTTCATATGACAAAATAAATCCAGCTTCAACCCAGCTAATGCTGGGTCATTTTGACTGACTTATTTATATTATTCAAGTTGATCATTATCGTTATTTTAACTCCTTTTATCTATGCATGCACAATCCATTCCTTGATAAAATTCCGTCTCAATCGTCTAAATGCACCCTCATACCCGGTGTGCATTCAGAGTGGTTGGGCCATTTGTTGTTCTTTCTCATTTTTAGTCGTGATCTGTGATACATCTGTAGAAAAAAAATTTTGTGCATGTTTTACATATAATTCTCTGTAGTCAAAAACGATATATTTTTTAAATTTTTTAATCCTTTCCCCCCCTTGTACTATATTTTCTTTCTTTTTTTCGCTTCCTCTGAAATTTCTTCCTAGGTCGCGTGTTGTGTTTACACAGCACTTCACTTATACCTATAAGTTCTCTCATTATAAGGATTCTGTCCTTTTTCTATTTTTTAGTTCTTTTCTGTTCATACACTAGATTAGTTTTGACAACGCGAACGAAAAAACTTATTAATAAAAAATTTTTTCCTTGTTCAAAATTTGTATATTAACAACGGTTGTTGTGTTCCATGCTGTTTTTCGTAACTTGCGCATTTACAACTTACTTCTCATCTGAACATACTCAAAGCATTTAACGACTGTATTACAGTAATATTTGTTTGCATTCCAAAAAAAAAAAAAAAAGAAATAGAGTAACTAAATAACTATCAAATATTTAGTTATTATAAATAAGAATTATAATAATACACATATTTTACGACTTGAATCGCAGGACACGATTCCATTCTTTACGTTCCTTGACATTTGTTCAAATTTACTCATCTGTGTCTGACTCTGAAAGTTTAACAGTAAGCAATGAACGGATTTCCTATAAAATATTTTACGTTTATAAGTAACTTCGACAGTTCCGACTAGTTATTTATTCATCTTTTTTTTTTTATTTAGCTCAAAGTAAATAAATCAAGCAATACAAACATTTATTTATCATCATAAAAATGACTTCGAACCCTGGTCTTCAATCAATATCAGATCTTACAGCCTCAACCAAATTAACTACAGGAGATATTCCACCACCCCTTGTAGGTTCCTCTACAACTGTTATAGACACTCGACTATATCTATTCGCGGGACGTCTTGTGTCTTCTCGACGAATGACAAATGAATTATATGTACTTGATTTAGAAACATATGTATGGACAAAATTTCAAGATACTGATCAAAGAGCACCTAAATCTAGATATTTTCATTCCGCTAATCAATACAAGAATTCAATTGTGTTTTTTGGTGGCATGGGATATTCAAAAACTTCAAATGATGGTTTATGTGTGTTAGATGATGTGTCAATTTTTGATTTGGACACTTTCACTTGGAATCATCCTGAAATATCACCTTCACCTTCTTCCCCAAAACCAAGATATGCTCATTTGGCTGCTGTAACTGCAAACAAGTTGGTGGTAGTAGGTGGTCAAGACATGTCCAACTCTTATATTGAAGAAATTAATGTGTTGGATTTGGATGAATTGACCTGGACCTCATCACGACCTTTTGAAAAACATTGCGGTGCATATCGTTCGGTGGCAGTTAGTAGCACTAATCATACTAATTTCCCATTATTTAGTAATAATATTAGTGACTCTTCTTCAATTGCTTCGTTTGATGATTCAACTTCTTCTTCTTATTCGAATTCATCAGACTCAAACGGTACTACACCCTTGAGAAAGTCAACATCTCAGCAGGCTTTACCCTCCACAAATAATGTTACTAATTCCATTCGAAAACCACCATCAATTGGTGCTTTCGGTCGTTCAAGTTCAGGTTCTCTACGCAGAACTCCTTCAGGTCAAACCCTTATGCGCTCACGTTCTATAAAAAGATTACAATCTTCAGGCGGTTCATTTTATCGTCTTTCATATACAACTAGCGTTACTGAAGAAAATCCGAATCCAATTTATTTATATTCGAATTATAATTTTACCTCTGTTAAACGTGAACTTCAAGTTATCGCACCACCTACAACATCAAATTATCAAATCATGGATCATTCTTCAAATATGACGGGTGCATCCTTACCTCCAGGCCTTCGTTTCCCAACTGGAACGATTCTTGGACAGCATCTTATTATATCAGGAACCTACTTAACAAATACTAGTCAAACTTTTAGTGTATGGGCGTTAAACCTTGCAAATTTGGTTTGGACACGGATTGATACTGGTTCATGTTTCTTACAAGGTTCATGGAATAGAGGAGTCCTTTGTGAATCAGCAAACAAATATTTTGTACTTGGCCACCGTGATAGATCACTTGTTGATGATTATAATCATCGACAAACAAATTTTGATCATGTAACCGTTGTAGATTTAGAAGCATTCGGAGTATATCAGCCGCCACCTGCTACAATGGCCACGAATGCGCAAGAATTAGGATTGGCGTTATTGAATGATACTAATCTGGCAGATTTTGAAATTGTAACACAAGATGACAAGCGAATACCTGTTAACTCACAATTATTATCACAAAGGTGGCCGCATTTTAAGGCATTGGTTGATCAACAAGCGGACAGAGCGCCAAAACCAAAATATGATCAAGAGACGGTAAAAAATCTGGAAGATGAGACAATATTAATGTTTCATCATAGGGCCCTAGAGTTTCCTGAGCCATATTCCGTAACATTGGCATTTTTACAATACCTATATACCGATCATCTTCTTACATCGCAGCAACATCAGCCTCAAATATTGGCGCAACTGTTGCTGTTAGCAGATATGTATGATTTAGATCGTTTAAGACAGTTGACATCACATGCATTACATCAATCTTTAAGTATGTCCACAGCTGCATTAATATATGAAACAGCTGCACTTTCACATCGAACGGGTTTACAAATTCGTGCTCTTAAGGTCATGATTGCCGCAAAGAAAATGCTTCAACAACAACAACAGCAGCAAAGGGATCCGACTGCATCACGAGGAGGTAGCGTATCATCAACTCGTGCTTCAATTGTTGACTCTGATATTTTACCTTCTTCAAGTTGGGCAAGTCCTGCAAGTCCTCCTTTACCAGCAGCTATACCATCTGACATGAGATCATCTTATTATGATCCATATTCAACGTCAATGAATTTGTCATCGCAAACTAAACCAATTCAGACAAGGACACGATCTTCGTCATCCGTATCGGCTTATAGTGGTTCAATATCTAATCGTGGATATTTACCTACAATACAAGATAGTTTACAACAGAATGATGTTATGACTGGAGAAAGGTCAAATATGCCAACACAAGCTCAGCGTTTACGAACTACAAGATCGAATAGTTCACTGGCTTCATCGGCAAGGTCTGCTAGAAGTTATGCAGCGAGTACAACTACGTTTGGCAGTAACAATGTACCAGTACATCAACAGTCAATGTCTTCAGAACGTGTATATCAACAAGAATCTGTTGGTTATGCGGGTGGTGGTTTAACAGGATTTTAATCAAATGCAGCATTAGAATGGAAGATTCTCAAGCAATATACAAGAAGATGATGGATTGGAAAGTTGTTGTGATCAGGATTATCTCGATAACAGAAAGAGATAAATTGAAGGATTTATGATATGACGACACTTTCAACCAATCACGTCTAGTACATGCAAAAATCGGACAGAAGGCAATAATCGCGAAGGAAGGATATCAATTACAAAAAACAAAAAAAAAAGGAAGAGAATTAATTTGATTAATGACAAAAAAAAAAATTGGGTAGGGATTAAAAAAAAAAAGTTGATTTTCGGATTTTTTTTTTATTTATTTATTTATTTATTTTATTTATTATATCTTGTTATATATATATATATATATTTTATATTTTATTGCTAACAATTTTTTTTTTTTTTTATGAAAATTTTTGTATCATTAATCAAAAAGGTTTTATGATTGTAGTGATGTGAAAAAAGATATATATATATATATATA